ACACACACACACATACACACACACACATACACACACACGCACATACACACACACACACATACACCGTACACTGTCAGCTGTGCGAATTAGCTGTAAACAAATCAGTGTCGTACAGCAAAATGCGTGCTTATTATTAGCGACATGCCAAGACAGCGTGGATGATTTAGTTAGTATAACACATTAGAAGGGAGAAGGGACACTTACGTGACTGATTCACGTGATAATACTTACGAGTGGTAGCGATGCGTGAAAATAGTAAGGATGTGACAGGGATTCAATTCGATCGACTGTTTCGGTTCAGACAAACAAGTCTGTTCAATCACAGCAACAATCAATGATTAACTTTAGGTTTATTCCCGTGATTTCTTCAAAGAATGCCAGGAGAACAAAAAATCAATTCTGACTTATTTAGAATCAGTTCAAATCTTTCCTATTCCGTATTTTAGAAATGGCAATAATCGATGCTGCGATCTATATCAAACACACTTAACCGAAGTATGAAATGTACGTCATTTATTGGTTTTTTTTCAAATATAATTTTAGATATTTATATGCATATACATATATATGTGAGGTGCATAGGGTCCATACTTGAGCGGTTGTGATTGTAAGAGAAATAACCAGCCTTGTTCATTACTTCTACTTCTTCAGGCTTAATCTCTACTTTTAATAAGACAATTATCTAAGCCTTTATAATCTTCTATTGAATATGTGAGGCTCTAAAATTGCATCGTTTCTCAGCTGAAAATCCTCGATTGACGGAAACATCAGTAGACATTTTTGATGCACTAATTGGTAGGAACATTCCATCATAACTTCTCATTATCAGATAAGAATAAGAAGAGGCTATTGTTTTCGCTTATCGGCTAGCAGTTTATGCAACTTACTTATCAATTATAAATCACGTCACATTCTTGACCGCTACATACCTGATATGCCTACAAACATGGGCATTTCACATTATTGCACTGCAAAATAATAGGTTCCTTTTTATTTAAGAAATGCTGCAAGATGATTTTACAATTACATTCATTCAGCTTTTCCAACCTTAAATACTCGAAGAAATAGTTTGATATTTATGAAAGCAAGACCACTACACAAATCTCTTACTTGTGACACCTTACTGAACAGTACATTGACACCGCTAATTCATCATTACTTACTTATGAAACTTCAAATCTCATTAAAACATCTAATTATGCAAATAATTTTATCACACAGTTACTATCCAGCTGATGTTGTTATCGTTAATCGATCTCCTTGAATTACTAGAATGCCATGATATCAGCTAAAATTTTTCAACATAATTTGATGAAATTGACAGTCCATTGATAATGTGATTAGTGAAATTCATCAGGCAAATTAAAAATCATGCTGGATAAATATTACAACGAGTATATTGGAATCTATGAAAAATCTATTTCAAGAATCGATCTATAATTCGAGTCATTTTATTGTTCGCTTTCAGCTGTTCCTTCCCTGTAACTAACTACTTTCAAATTTTCTTCCACCGATGTTACAGCACTAAATGAGATGATTTAAAGTTTAAAAGTTATGCAAGGAAACTTTCATAGCTGCTAGAAGGAACACATTAATTAGTACGACCTGTCCTGTTCTATATTGCAGCATATTTTTCTTTCAGTTATTTTGAATTTATTTTACAAATACACTCCTTTTTTTTCTCATTTGCTTTCGCTTTTACGTACTATCACTAATGTATGCCACGTACTGCTATCAAAATTTCTGTTTCAAATACATAAGGCATATTTGTTCATGCCAAGAACATTCAAATAAATTAACGTTATTATAATTCTCCATGGAAAATTATTTATAAATGAAGCAAAAATGGGAAGTTAAAAGGTAAAAGAAAAAGGTTCGGTCCAATGATTTAATAACAGTGCTTTTGGAAATGATTCTATAGCCACTTCTCTAATGAGCTGTAACGAACCTTAAGGATGGTGAGAGGAGTACCATTATCCATCATTTTATGAGTTTAAAAAAAAAAAAAAACACACAATAATCTGCTTTCAACGATCATTTACATTATTAAATACCATTAATTTATGTTCATAATCCATGCGTATCATTTATTCTCCATTCCTGTTTTCCTTTCTTCAAAATTGACCTTTCGGCAGATATTGAACAATTCGCTGTCCTTGCATGTGCTACATTTGTACATACATATGAGAGATGTGTAAATAAATTTCTCGAGGAACGGCAGAATCCTGTCAGTAAAATCTCGAATAATTATAAATTTTGTAAAGAATTGATTATGTTGGTAAAGGAAAAGAATTAACTTGAAAATCAAGATGACAAAGCTCATGTAACTGTTATCATGATAAATTCAATACCATTTCATATCAATGATCAAATTTTATTTCAAATTTTCCAATTCTTTTTTGGTGATTACTTTCGATGCGGTGACATTTAAGTATAGCATTGATAGCAAAGAGAAAGCCGGGATGGACGGGAGAGGGGGACAAAAGGTACGGACAGGGAGGAACATACAATATATACGTATACTAACACCACATGGTCGCCAGATGAACGTAACGAAGACATGTGTGGGACAGTGTGATCAAATCTAAGCAAGTAAATGACACACACATACACATACACACAGACATAGCCGACCAACAGAGGGACAAGAATGCCATCAGTCGGGTGCAATTGGTTCTTTCTCGCATCGACCGACGAATAGATAATACACCTCAGCAAAAACACATTAGCCAGTAAACAGTAAGGGGACCATCCTGAAATCCCCAACTAATACTTCTCAACTGTCATTAGTAAGATGAACAATTCCTTGCAAAATGCCATCACTGTGGTACAGTGACCTGATTAACTGATAAAAGATTATTCCAATGAGAACAACAGTAAGTTGAATAAGTTCATTTTATCCCAGAATAAATCTTATCCAGTTGGCCTATACTAGTACTGACTTTCTCATATTCTATTTTCGAGTGATCATTCATCAGACCAATATTTTATTACAGTTGTTTACTAAAACTAATAGAACTGAATGTCTTCGGCAGCTTCAACAGAAATCAAACTTACCTGTTATAATGGTTGCTTTACCAACAATGAATTTGCTATGTATTTTTTCATGTCTATGTCTATGGAATCTGTTATTAATATTTTTATGGCACTCCACCTTTGTGATAACTGGGATTTCGGTATTAACCAATAAGCGATAATTGTGGAAAACTGGAATTTTTTCCTTAGTCCATTGAACCTCTTGTTGCTTAAAAAATAATTTTCACAGTGCTTTGAAGATTTTGTTCCTACTTTTACATATCTACACAACATTAAATGTGTATTTAAACACTGAAATAATCTAACAGATTTACTCATTTTGAGTAAACGCTTCCTCAACAGCTGATTCACTCTTTGACAGCGGAAAATGGATTTTTTATTAAAACCCTCGGAAGAGTAGTAAAACTCTAAATCATGCTCTATTTATTTGATTTTTATGAAAATGATATGCGATGGCAAGATGATAAAAGACAAGAGATGAAATTAATAAAAAATATCACATAGACTATGAGCAAAACAACTTACAACCACTAACACCATCAAAACCCATAAATTTGTTAATTCTTGGAACTCTTTCTATTAGGGTTCATTCTACTTTTGAATATTAATGAGAGTACGGTAAATTCCAGTTAACTCTTGTTTTAAATTGGAAAGAATGAGGTACGAAGTCAGTGACATAATCGCACGAATGATCATTATCTTTTACGAATATTTCATATTTCATTGAACATACGCTGTAGAAGTAACATTACCACCAGTACCAGTCCAATTTGTGTGTAAGAATGTACCCGGTTTATCCATTAATTCGTACATATGAGCACCGAAATAGTCACGCTGGGCCTAGAAAATTTCTCAATTAGATTGCAAAAGATCTCAGAAACGAAGATAAAGTGAATTTCATCCTCATCCTACCTGAATAAGATTTGCTGGCAGTACTTCGCAACGGAAGCCGTCATAAAATGCAAGTGCAGTTGAAAAAGCTGGCGTTGGTATACCAAGTAAAATTCCAGCAGCACTAACAATGCGCCAGGATTCCTAAATTGAGAAATTTCCTGTACATTAAATTATCACATATGAAATTAACAGGAATTTGGTATTCACATATTCATGACCTCAACGAAGTTGATAAATATATAGGATCATTATAAGACTTAAGTTTAGCAGTGATGCCACTTGAATGTGAAACGAACTCAGCGTTAAAGCAAATCAAATATTTATAAGGAATGATTCTATTACTTAAGTTGATAAGTTTGCTTATGAAATTAAGTTGTCTTTTAGACCAGAGCATAAAAGACTTTTTTCTACAAACCAACTAGAGCAGTATGCTAGATGGAGCGATATGTATTACTCTTTTACATACCCACTCTTTATAAATCAGAACCCTCTTTCGAGATTTTAGAAAAAAACATTATTTCAGTTGTATAAGCAACCAACCTGGCATTTCTTGATAGCATTTACGAAGAAACTATCCATTAACAGATTACCAAGTTTGGGATTGGTATCAAAAGCTTTCTTTATTTCACCCAAAAAACGCGAGCGAATAATGCACCCCCCACGCCACATCAGTGCAATTGCTCCAAAATTCAGATTCCAGTTGAACACACGGTTTGCTTCGGCAAAAAGCATGAATCCTTGTGCGTAGCTTATGATTTTTGATGCGTATAAAGCCTGAATAATTGCTAATTTTTTAAATATAGATTATGTATGTATTTGATAGTTAGAAAATAACTGTGTACTTAGATTAATTTCACATACTTTCCTAACGTGATCACAAAATGTTCTTCTGTCACCAACAATGCCAGATTTATCAGGATTAGGTCCCGGCAAAACTTTGGCTGCTGCGACTCGATCATCCTTCAACGATGATAAGCAACGAGCAAAAACAGCTTCACCTACACGAAAGTCCATTGATCATTGCGAAAATTGGAAAGTTGATAAATAAGTAAGACGTCAAGTATTTCAACTATTTAACAGGTTTATTTTAGTAAAATTTATACCTAAAGGCCAAGCGCAAAATTCTGCCTACTGTAACATGGAGTATCTCGTACTTCGCATTTAAATATAAATCCCAAAACAAGAAACTTCTGCAACAATAGAAAATATTTAATAAAAAAATTCTTTGCTGAAAGTAATTAGAACTAACCAATCAAAGTAAGTGGCACTCCATAGTTCAAGGCAACGATTCCCGTCCATTTGCCAGTCCCTTTCTGAAAGTAATTATTTCCATCTGTACATTTTTCATTTTGCTCCTAATTTCGCAGTTGCAATTGAATACTTTTAGTGACATATTGGCAGCCTAAACTGCGAGCTATTAACCGGGTTACGTGTAGAATTTGCTAAGATAATGAATGATACGATATACTATGCAGTTATATATTATAATTTTAAACTTTTTAATTTCATATCGTAATGTTGGATAATTTAGGACTCACGGGTATACCGCTACTATCAACCAAAAAAGAATTAAAAACTGTCCTCAAAGATCAAAAGGAAATGAAATACCTGCCCAGCAGCGTCTCTAATATTTGGCAATAGGGTCTGGTTCTTTTCATTTTTGAATTTAAGAATATGACTTGTAATTTCTATCAGATATGAATCCAGTGCGCCTTTATTCCATTCCGCGAACACCTTAAACAGCAGTACAAAATTTCTTCCCCTCCTTGTTACGATAGCATATTTTTTGAAAGTGTTTGAACCAAAAAGTTTACATAATATGCATACAGTGGCATATTACGTAAACTACATATTGAAAGTATAATTTTATTAGTATCAGATGAAAAATGGCTTGTATAACTAGGTGCTTATTTCCATAACTCCTGCACATTTTCTACTTCAATTCTGATCTACAAGAATTCTCACCTTGATTTGCAATAATTAGCTGATCAAGAAAATATTTCATTAAAATCATTAATTCATAATTTACTTTTTTATGATTCACGAAGATTAAAAGTGTTAATCCTAGTGATCAGTGATCAGAACAGTGATTTATTAACTTATATGTAAGCATTTATTTAATGATTTTTATTCTAAGCAAAAAAAAACAAAATTAACAATTATTAATGCAATGTTCTCATTGATAAGAACATTGCATTAATAACTGTTGATTTTTCAATCCGAAATACAGAATTTTCTCCAAAATTCGATTCAATCTAATCAAGTCTGGTACAATGCTCAGGTAAACAATGAGTCAATAATGTGCTTCAGTTTTAAATCGCTTCGTATCTTCGTTTATATTCGACTGCTAAACATACTTCTGAATTTCTTCTCTCTCACTACAGTAATACAAATAGGTGGTGGAACTTTTTCATAAATATTCAACGTGAACATCGTTCACCTGTCAGTTGTCCTCGACTGGCAGTTGTTTTTGATATTATAATGCAATAAATATTCTCGCTTTCGCGAGTTGTTGACTTCGTCGTAAAGTTAAGACATATTTCCTTACATTCTATTTTTCCCTGATACTTCATTAAAATTTTTTTCGCTCCAGCATTTCAAAATGATTGTGAGTCTTCAATCAAGGGATCTGAATTCGATTTTTCTCGACGTAGTTGAGATAAGCCATTAGTAGTCTTATCGGATGACTCAGTATCAAATGTATCCACTGGGTTGACTGGTTGTGATTACTGGTTGGTTAAACATTGAGAACTGATTAGTAATTCAAAATTACATCCAACAACAGAAAGAAAAATTTCTTCAAGTCGCTATCGACAACTGATTCCTTCTTCAATACATTGCAAATTTCAGATGAGCGCGAGTCATGAATTTCCTCCTTTTCTCTGAAATGCTGATTCTATCAGCTCTGAAAAGAATTTTGCAACGGTCTTGTCATAAATTCGGAAATGTGAAGATTGTGATGTCTTTCGGCAATAAAAAATCCCACTCGGTTAAAACTGAATTCTTATTAAAAAAACGAATTTCAAGATCTGCGAAATTCCACTTTCGCACCAATAATATATTTTAATAGGAATTTGAACAGGAATTTTGACAAGAATGCACTTTCGTCATGCCATGACCAGCAAGCAACAATATTGTTGGAAGTTCTTTTCGAAGAGTTGGACAAGTACTGTGTGATACATGCAGCATAATCAGTGAAATTGATATGCAGAATGATGACGGCAAGTACATGATTCCACATATGACTTTTATTCATGACATTATCAAATTGGAAACCATCTTGAATGAAAGTTGTAGGAACTCCTTACAGTTTCAGAAGATGTTGAGTTTTATTCCAAACAAGTGACTTGATTGTAATAATTCGAATAAATTCTTGAAACAGCAAATATATGAGAACGTAATTCAGGCTTCCAATGTAAATTACTTCGTTATTACTGAAGCCATCGTATTCATTAAAAAACGTAATCCGAAGTACTGCTGTACCACAATGTATTTCTGATCATCTCAGTCGATCCTTTTATAGTAAAAAAACTCAAAGATTACTACGCTTAGTTATGATTATTGTAAGCACTATGGACATAAAAATATCGTAAGACATAAAAGTTTTGATCAATTTTCAAACAGAACTCAAACCAGCCAAAAATACTCCGAATTGATCGAAGTCGCTGATCAACTAAATGAAACAAAGTCCAAATAAAGGCAGAAATAAGAAATAAACAGAAAAATCCAAAGACGAAAATAAAAAGCCAATACCAAGAAGAGATCGTGTTTGCTGTCACTGCAAACGTACTTTCAAAACTTCTGAGAAGAAAATATGCAGTGAAAAAACTCAAGCATAGATATACCACAATAATTGTTGGACGAGTCTTGATCGAACGATGCGAAACTGATAAATTTCAGAAGCAGTGACATAAGAAACGATTCAAGTACTCATTAAGTAATAGTAATGTAAGGCGGCATCGATCAAACATTGAAGGTAAATAAACTGAGGAAGACATTAAAGCAGGTTATTAAAGCAGCCAGTAATAATTCATGCCGTAAATCAAAATATATTTGCACAGAGCTATAAATCAAATCAAAAATTTTGACTCACCTCTGCCATTTCATCATGTGTCAAATCAGCTCCGTCTTTCAGTAGACTATAAGCTTCTGCAATCAACTGCATGTCACCATATTCAATTCCATTATGAACCATTTTCACAAAATGTCCAGCACCATTTTCACCAACCTGAAAACATCTGAATGCTAAACTGCGAGTCACAAATATGTCCATCACAACTGCATTTTAGCTCGCATAAAGATGCAACTGAAATAATTTTACCCAGTCACAACAAGGCTCCTTGTCAACTTTAGCTGATATTGCTTGGAATATATCCTTTATGTATGGCCAAGCTTCCGGTGAACCACCTGGCATCAATGATGGACCATAACGCGCTCCTGAAAGCAATTACACTTTCAGTTTCAAAAACAACTAGCACAGCCTGCTTTCATCCACTTGGCCTAAAGCAGAAGAGAAATGTTTTTCCGTTCTTATAAGAGATACACGAAAGGCTAAAGAAAGTAGAAGAAACTACAAAAGATCAGCTAATGAGCAACAGTAATCTATTATAAATCTCAAAACAATACCTTCCTCACCACCACTTACACCGCAACCCACGAAACGAATACCCTTCTCCTTGAGTTCCATGCAACGTCGCTGCAAAAACGATATTTGAGAAATTTCATTCCTTATTTTCAACTGTCACATAATAATATGAAAGTCAAATGAATGTACTCGAATCCTACAGCTCCTTCTATTACTTGTAATGTAAGCCTCTCAATTTTGAGCAGATCAGAACAGGATTTTACTTATTCGATCTATTTTTTTCTTTTTTGCATGAAATGGATCAGTTACAGATGGAAAAACATATTATAAACAAGTGAAATGCGAAGAAAACTTACAGATGTATCTGTATACTCACTATTCCCACCGTCAATAATTATGTCATCTTTATCCAGAAAAGGCAAGACGCTGGAAATCATTGCATCCACTGGTTGCCCCGCTTTTACCATTAACATTATACGCCGTGGTTTCTTTAGAACTCTGATATAAACAACTTTGCAAATACGTCCCAAATTAGAGCATCACATGAAATAACTTCCGCTTTTCAAATCCGCAGTTCTTAGCTTATTATCAAAAATTACAATTAATTTCGAAATTATTCCTTTGAAGATTACATACTCGGCTAATTCTGATAAACTGTGCGCTCCAATAACCCGTAGACCTTTTCCTTCATTCTCCATGAAATCATCCACTTTCGCTACAGTTCGATTGTACACGCAGACCTTTAACATGATATAAATCAAAAAACTGAAACATTCCAAGACTATTCTTAGTTATGACTACAGAAACCTGTAAAACTAATTTAGTTTCATTTAACTTCTTAACCTTTTTTCTTAATCATTTATTCCTGTATTCGATAGATTTTGAAACTATCGATCAATTATATTTCCATAATAATAATAATCATCCATGCTTTCAAATTGATCTTGGTTACCTAACTCTGTTTCATTCGGAATTTATAAATGCAATATCAAAAAGTGCTATGTATCATGTAATGTGTACCACTAAACACTTTGAAAATTACGCATGAAGTTATAACCAACCACGAAGCCTTTGTCAAGCATGTTAAGAATTAAATTTTGTCCCATCACGGCGAGGCCAATCACCGCAATATCAGCTTTTTCCTTCTCATCGAGCGACATTTTTTTTATTTTTCCTGTAATCAATTATCCTCTTAACACACACTTTCATAACAACAATACATAGGAAAAGAAAAGAAAAAACAATGAAAACGATAAAGACTGAAAACCGTTTGTTCCAACAACCCAATTTATGTCACGCTGACAATATCGTACAATGAAAATTGAATTGAATCTTTTGATTTAAAAAAATAAGAATGTAATTAGCTGCTGAGATTATTTTTCTTTCAGGTTTATTCCTAATATACTTTAGATTATGTCATATTGGGAGAAAGCACTGTAATATACATTAGGTTTACTAATCAAGCGTTATTAATGGAACAGACACAACCCCAAGCTAACATAACCCGCTTAATCCGAATGTCCAGAAAAGTCTCGCAATAACAGAGAATATAATAATTACGATTTGAAATCTCATTCCTTGCATCATTTCGGCATAAATGGTAATTTATGACAGCTACCGAAGTAATATTCTTTTCCACCACTTTTCCTAACAAAGCTTTAGGTCAATTTTTTCCCGTCTTTTAGTTGTTTTCTGTCATTTTTTCATGTTTTTAAAGAAATCATCATTTATTTAAATTGCTGACAATGTAACTTCTTCTTAGCCAGCAAAAGTGAAAATGAAATTAGCAGATGGAGAAATAAAAAAGTGGCGGTGGCTTTGTAGAAAATGAGCAGTATCATAGCCGAAGTTAGCCTGATCACTTTTCCATCGTCTTATCATGGAAGGAAAAACAGATAGCATTAATTTTTAGACGTTTAATTTAGAATTGCAAATTGATCTTTGATGAAAGATAGAAATTAGTGGAACTAAAAAACATATGCTAGAAATTACGCACCTTACAAATTCCAAAGATTAAACAATTGATATTGGTGTTAGGGCGAAAGTATACGATAGGGGAAAGATGAGTTTGCAGGAAATCAGGAGCTGCAAAACGAGACTGCATTACTTAATTTTGTTCAGGCTAATCGCAGAACTCCCCTTCTCCTTCATATAATTTTTTACAAAACGCAAAGAAGTAACGATTTTAACGGAATTGCGCATAAGGGACGCATTAAACGTTGTCAGAAATGCTATTTAGAAATTGGTATGGTAAGGCTGATTGTTTAAATTTCTTGGAGTAGGATTTCCACATAGTTTGGATTTCGTTGGATTTGTAAGTTGCATTGTTTGTGGATATTTCTGGTATAAATAAATCCTTAATTTGGCATAAAACAATCAAATTCTTTAATGCATTGTGGGCCTATTTTATTTGTCTTAAACTTGGAAGTGTAACAGTTTAATTGATTAGCATTCAATTTGGGTAATTAGCGACATGAAGGAGATGAACAGTTGCCATTCGTTGACGTGGCGCATGGATCATATTTACATATATTTTCCATACGAATTTTACATAATAACAGATGTAATAACTACTTGTATATCAATATATTATGTATGGTTTTAGTTTTTTAAAATATTCGGCGAACTAATTAGGAATGCTTATTCCCAATGGCACACCAAATAATAGCACACCGAACCATAACATTTCCTCTAATAGTGAAGGAAATATTTGTTCGTTATTGTTAAAAAGTGTGGATGGTGAACGAATCGATGTCTTACGGTCTATTCTTGCTCAAATTGGTTAGTTGTGCTTAGTCTCTTTCTTAAACTTTAAGAGCCGATTTTTCAGATTTGTAAAGTACAGGTAAATGAATGAGCTATTTGAAAAGCTGCTGCTTTATATTAAAATTACGATTTTATTTGAGAATCTGATATGTATCATGGACATAATTTTGTGTGATGTCAGAAAAATTCAATGATTTCAGCCTCGAAATCAGATTTCCACGAGCAAGTAGATCAGATATGTTACAATGGGGGAACAGTATTGCATTATGCAGTAGCTCGAAGTAATTATTTTCAATCATTTTTGGCTTATTTGTTGAATTTTAGCGCAGAAATGTTTCTCTTCATAGATATGTAGTGATATGATATTAAATTTTAGTAGTTGTATTTTCAAACGAATCAC